ATTAAAATGTGGCTGTTAGCTCCTAATCTAGAGAAGAAAAAGTCAAGGAAACATTCAGTGTGCAGCCAGGCAGACGACACCCTGTAAAGCATTCGTCATGCTTACGTAGTCTCATTAGGAACCAAGCGATACCTTTATTACATTCACCCTCAAAAGGAAAACTAATTATTAAGTTAATACCACGTTTATTTTTAGATAGTATTGCGAGAGTGCGCATCACCTTACAAACACAGAAAAGATGACACAGGCCTGCCCCAAGGAGCTTACAACTCAGTTTTGACAAACATTACAAAAATTTTTGTGAACAGGAAGAGGTAGGGGAGGCTAACGCTGTCAGGTTAAAAAGAGGAGGCTTTTTGGAAAAGGAGATTGTTCCAGGAATAAAAAGGGAATGGCAGGATCAGGCACAAGGAAGTGACAAGCAGCAGGAGGGAGGGTGACAACGTGGAGCACAGGACACATGGTAAAAACTGACTGCACAGAGATGGGCTGGGCAGCACAGGCAGGAAAACAAGGAGCTGTAGGGTTTATAATTAACATGTAAGAATGCACCTACATAATACATCATTGTTGCAGCCATTCCAGAGAAGAGAACGTTGTGAAATATAAATCGGAAGTGGTTTTTCTTTTAAGTTTTTTTGAAAAACAGTCCCTTTCCATCAGGAATCCTGCTGTAATACTGATTGCCATCATGAGAACTTTGTACTTCTGAACCAGGAAGTAGGGAATACCAAAAGCTCTGCAGATGCAGAAGACTCGAGGGAAAAAAAACCAAACAACAAAACAATGAAACCCTAGCAAAACTTGTCCTTTTAAAGGTCTCAGTATCTGTTTTATATCGTGTGGCAGATTTTCCAAATTCATCAGCCTGCCAAGAGGGAAACTTCCTACTTCAACACATTTTAGTGATTTACTGACTTCGCTAAAATCTCCTTATCCTACAATTTTCCTTTGTAGACAGAGCGTGAAGAGGCCAGGCTTTGGTGTGGGAGTTAAACATTTCAATCGCTGTAGCAGCATTGCAGTTGAGTTGCTTTGTCTTTTTTCCCAGACATCTGTGTCCAGTTTCATCTCAAGGACCTGGATACTCTATGACAGTAACTGAGTAAAGGGTTTAAGTGTCCTGTTAAGCGAAACAGCATATATTCTCTGCTGCTTTTGGTAGCATCATTGCATTAGTGTTACAAAGCCTCCGTTGATGGGGCTTAGGTACTGACAGATCAGTGAAAGGAAAAAGGTGTCATCCTTCCCCACTTTATTTTTTTAATTAATTTTTTTTCAAATAGAGGTGCATGTTAAATGCACAGGAGAGGCTGTAGAGGCCAGGAGCAGTGTTTCCAGAAGGTGCAATCACCTTGACACAGCAACACCCTCGACTCCGAGGGCTCCCACAAACAGTACTCACAGATCAGGTTTCTGCTTCATTACTCAGTTGGGGATGCTTCTGTGGAGGAGGCGAGGTCTTTCCCCTGACCGCCATTCTCACACTTCTCATGTGGATGAGGGTAAGGGTATACAAGGTGCATGAAAAAGAAAATGCTAAGATTTAGGAATTATGAAAGTAGTCAAGCACACTGACCTATATTTGAGCTATACAGGTAAATGCATTATTGATTTAAATTGATGTGGCTCTCCAGTCTCTGGTAGCCCATTTATTTTTTTCCACAGGGTGGCTCATGCACATAGAAGTGGCGCATCAGGAATTTGCTTGGTCCTGCATCACTTGGCTAGAAAGCAGCGATGCTGTTTTCCACTCCAGACGTAAGTAACGTACAATTGCATTTCCATAAGCATCAAAGAAAGAGGCAAACTGCCCATTAATAATTGTGTCTAACAGGACCACCCCAACAGCGTTTGTCTCTGCGCTGGGCAAGACAACATTTAGAGGCGGCTGAGGCCAAAATACTCCATCCTGAGGGGTCTAACACTGCAAGAGGTGCAGCATTGAAGCACTTGTGCCACAATCAGTGGAATATTTGGACATCTTGCATGCAGATAGGTTTTTTTTTTGATAGATAAATTTGAGACTGCTTTTAAAAATCAGTTTGGTTCACAACTGTCAGAGTAAATTAAACACCACAAGAGCAGACCAGCATTTCACCCAGCCCAGCATGTATTTTCTCCATCTTTGACCAATTCTTAAGAGACAAAGCATGTAGAAAAGTAATCTTTCCTTGGCATAACTTATTTACAGCAACTTAAAATCTCCCTGAGTTAGTGGATGCATCAGACTATTGTTTAACCAGCCCCTTTTTAAAAAACAGTTCGACTTCTGTACCCCACTGTGTTCTGCAGCAATGGATCCCCCAGTTTGACTTTGCGCTGAGTGAGAATGCACTCCCGTTTATTCAACCCTGAACAACTGAAACTTGGTGTACCCTACTCCTGGTGCTGGCCAGCCAAAGGCACGCTTCACTCCCAGTCTGCAAACAGAGCCCAAAACTGTGACTCAAAGGCGTGAGCTGTTCCTCACAGCTGACCAGCAGCTTCTGAACACCATGGCACATCAGCACAGACACCAACTGCATATATCCATCATTTTACCAGATGAAAGTGGCTTAGAGGATATTTCTAATAACGGGCAGGAACTGGGAACCGCAGCAGGGAGGTGGACAGGAGGAATGAAAGGGCATTCTTTAATTTATCTGCACTTACTTCAAAGGCAGCATCATCTCCACTGCAACTTCATGGAAGCTTGCCACTGTATTCCACTATTTTGCAGAGACATTATATATATATACACACGTAGAGATAGGAATTTATAGTAGGAATTTCAGTGACATATGAGTTAAGCTATCACATTCAGTGCTCTGAAACTGAGGTGGAAGTAATGCTGAGTTGACGCACTGACACGCTCCAACTGCTGTCTCTGCTTTAAGACACTGAGTCTGAGGACTGTGGCTCAGACACTTACCAAAAAAAGACACTTAATCTGTCATTGTCACGTCAAGATATCTCTGAGCAAGAGTAGGAATCTTCTTAAAATATTTAGGAGTAAGTATAGTAATGTGAAATGCAGAAATCTGCAGAAAGCCCTCTGGAAATGTGAGCAAGCTGTACTACTGCTGGTGGGTCTGAAGACGTACGTGAGACAATGCCAGGTGAACAGGAAAATGAATCAGAACTCTGCTCACTTAATTATTGCTCAACACAAAAGAAAGAAAAGCTGCTAAGGTCACTAAATCATCACCAGAGCTAGAGGCCAACAAAAGACAGAAAGTTCTCGAAGAGCAGAGTGTTGACAGCAGGCAATAAGGTTGTCTCGGAACAAACACATTTAATAAAGGCAACACATTAAAAAAGTTCCACAGACGTGTAAAACACTCAAGTGGCAGGTCATTCCCAAACGAGTGACTGAAGACTAAAAGGTGCCAGGGAGCGGAGCAGGATCTGAAGTGCCGCAGGAGCTGGCTGGAGGCAGCGACTCGAGATGGCGCTGCTGTCCCACGAAGCTGCCTCCTCATCCCCTGCTGGCAGGGCCACCACCAGCCAAAGACTCCGCAGGGCTCCCAGCCATCCTGCCAGAGGGCACCAAGCTTGCTCTTCAGGGAAGGCGGGCTGAGCACCTGCACGCTTCAACCCAGCAGTAAAGGAGTTGGCACCCAGTTTCCAGGTAATTTCTCAGAGGAAGGTCCAAGTGCACTGTTGTTTCTAATCCCCGATTTAGAGCTAACGGGGCAGTGATTGAGTCTTGTACTCTTCCGACCAGACATTAAGAGGTTGGATGACTTACCCCCTGCCAGGCTTTGCAGTAATGCAGGAGCTGGCAGTTCAGAAACCACCACCACTACATCTTCAGAGTTGTTTTATTTCTGCCCCTAACCTTCCTGCAGCCGCTAGCTCAGCTCAGCCCAGTGCATATCCAGTTCATCCTCAATGCTGCACAGTCCCATAGTGGTCAACACTACTCACAAGACTACAGAGGCTGAGCTACCAACCTCAACAAGAAGGTTACAGGCAGAAAAGTCAGCTTTAGACAAGATTTAGGGAGACCTCTATAAAAATAAGCAGGTTGACAATTCCCTTTATATTCCCTCCAAGGTGAACAGGCCTGGGGCACCTTTACCTACACGTATTGCTCTGTAAGCCAGCTTCAGCATACAATCAATCACCATATACTCTGTCCAGACAGAGCATCAACATCAGAGAAGGCTCTTCAGCCAGCCAAACCAGCAGCTTTTTGGTCAGTCACAGTAACCTGGTGTTCAGCAGCTTGGGAGCTATTATCAGAAGAACGTAAATAAGCTATGGCTAGAGGAAGAATTACATCATGGCATCACCCTGCCATACATCCACAGGATCCAGTCACCAGACACAAAGGAGTGTTCTGCACTCTCAATTCTTTTCGACAGCCAGGCAGCTCCCGGTGCATGAACACCAAGGTACCTGGAGCCCCAGAACTCAGCTTCAGGAAGCTTCTCAGCTAAATACATGCTGCTGCTCCCCTCCCAGGGTCATATTGAAGGGAAGAAGAGGCAAAAGGCAACAGGTCTCAAAGCACTTCATCAGTAAACAAGATCCAATTCCTATCTCAAAGGTTCCAGGACTGCAGAGAGTTTAAAACATGTACAGGTGGCTGGCAGGCCAGGAAGAGGAGGAATTCCAGACCTTTAAAGGCTTGGTCTAGGACCAAGGAGTCCTTTGGGTTCTTCATTTCACTGGGGAAGGCAGATCCATAGCTCACAGTCTGTGTCATTTGCAGTAATAGAAGTTTTGGGAGCTGTCAGTGCTAGCAGCCAACATTTAGCAATACACTGAAGCTGTGCTCATACACATACAAGTAAAAACCCCTTCCCTGCCTCAGAGACAGTCTGGGGTATGTCTGGATAGACAATAAAAACACTGGGTCCAGCTGCATATCAAGCAGAAAGACCCTCAGGGAGGGAGGAGAGTGCAGCTTGCATGTCAGAATGTCAGCCAAGGCTGGGGGAAGAGGGGGAGAAAACAGACTTCAGTGTTTTACAATGGCAAACTCAAATTATGGTCTTCCTTCCCTCTTCCCCCATCCCTCTACTCCTTCTCTCTCCACTTTCCTATGCAGAGACTCTGCCACTGGAGAGCGTGATCGGGATAATTTAAGACACAATATCTGCGTGGCCTTGATAAAAAGGAAAAGTGTCCTGTGTTCTGGAGTAAGGAGGGGGAAGTCTCCTTCTGCCATATATCTGAGGAAAGCTCAGTCATGATGTCCGGCCCTCACTCCAGTGATGAGCAAAGATTGGCAGAGCCAGGAGAGACAAACCTGGCTTACACCACAGGTAGAACCCACGGATGTGGTAGGAACCTGTACAGGGGAGGTTGTACTTGAAGCACCAGTTTAAACAAAGGCTTCCTCGTTGGGAGTGCCATTGATTTTGAAGAAAAGTTTGGCATCATCCATCTTCTGCTTTTTTTCTCTCTCTAGCCTGCGTCTGTAGCAGACCAGGTAGATTGGAAGGCAGAAACCTAGGAAGCTCACACCAAGCAAGCCAACATTCACCTGCAGGAGGAAAGACAAAACAAAATTAGGCAGGCTAGGAGGACAACAACCCAGTCACGCATGCCAAACTGTCAGAACCCAGCCCATGTCACTCAGCTGCAGACAAACCCGGAGACGCCCTGCTCAGTGTATTGGCAACAACCTCCACCGTATTTATACGTGCACTCCTGTGCCCACAGCACCATGTGTATAAGGTAAACGCTGCAAGGATTTGTTGCTCTAGATCATGGCTGTGGGAGTCTTGTTGGGGCTGTTTAAGCTGCAGCTCTTTTACACCAGGTTTGCTGACTGAAGAGCACCAGGCTGCTGGGGTGGGCATGTGTAGTCTAGAGACCAGAGACTCCCCTCAAGATAACTCACGTCATGCTTTTGAGCTCCCCAGACAGACTCTCCTCAAGACACCACATTAACCCTACCTTCAGTAGCCACTTGGCTTTTTGGACATAGGCATCAGCAACCCAAAGTTTACTGATAATTGGAGCTAATAGCTCTCAAGGGAACAGAGCATTTCTGCTGCTTTTTGAGGTCCACAAAGATTCACTCACTGCTACCTGACAGATTTTCACTCGCCACACCAACTGTTAGCGGGAAGCACTCATGCAGCCTTCTCCTTTCTTCCCTTGCCACACACTGGCATATGGGTTAATGGCTTTCCCTCCCAGGGAGTCATCACTCACACAGGGAACAAACTCCTGGACAGCAGCAAGGTAACAGCGGACTGAGGGACATGTAAAACTCCAGCTGTTTTTAACCTTGACCCATGCACAGGAGTCCTTTTGTTTTCAAATAAATAAGCCAAAAATCATCTTAAACACCCAAGCCTTCACATTAAATTTGAGAGCAACTTGCCCAGAGAGGGTCTCCTTCCAAAGGTCCCGTCAATGCCATAAAAAGTGGCTGCTGCAGGAGGGCGAAGAGGGCACTGATCAGCGACTGCAACCCTGTCAGGCTGCCAAACTGAGTAGAGGGATATCTGTCAACAGAGAAAGCCACAGCATTATTATATGTCACCTTGACTGGTCACGTCACCCAGATCACATCACATTCCCAGTCGACTAACACAGAGCACACTCCCAAGAACCTCCTTCTCCTGGAGTTATGTATAACTACCTTTTTAATAGAGTATTTAGCTCTACCCAATGGTGTGCGCAGTGCTCTCTAGAGCAGAATGCAGCTGGTGACAAGGCTGGAGCCTTCTTCTCCAGATTATTCTCATCCCAAGCCCTCAAAACTTTAGTAGTGTCAGATCCAGCACTTGTTTTGCTTTGCAGCTGTACTGTAGTCAGGTGGAAGTGCTTATACAACTATAATTCCTATTGCGAAGGGAGAAGAGTGTTGATATTTACAAGTTAAAAGCAACACTTCTTCATCCAGATGACAGCATTTGCGGCTAAGCAATTCATTTTAATCTGGTCATAACAATTTGCTCCCTTTAGAGGTGAGTAAAACCTGCGCAACAGGTTAGGATGTGTTTTCTGTTTTGGAGGACAAATCTGATCCTACGTCAAACTAAACAATATTGTTGATTGGAAAGTGCTGAATATCAGATACTACTAATGGAAAAATAAATTTCAGGAACAATCTAACATCCTTCTCTTTGCACGACTGAGCAGTGTTTAAAAAAGGTCAGGGTTAAACTAACTTTGGAAAGTAAGAAGTGGATCAATACCTTCAAATATTCAAAGAAATCACATTCAAAGCAAAAATACCTCACTGCAGGAAGTTTCAGAGAGTTGCAATGGTCAAACAGGATTAGTTTACAAGCAAGCTGATATGTACAGCAACAGACATTTACCTTGCCTAAGACAAAAATCTTTTGCTTCTAGCTGCCAGGGACCCAAAAGTTTATGCATTTTTGAAGCAAATTCTTAGATGGGTTTTCTAGTCTGGATTCCCCAGACACTGGGACCAAAACCTTTGACAGACGGAGCCTGTGGAGTCACCATCCGTGGAGATATTCAAATCCCAACTGGATGCAGTCCCGAGCAACCTGTTCTAGCTGACCCTGCTTGAGCGCGAGGGTTGGACCAGGTGGTCTCGAGAGGTTCCTTCCCACCTCAACGATTCTGTGATTCTCTGAAACATAACAGCTCCTTTTCTGTTCCCCTGTCCAAAAGCTCAGGACAGAGGGGCAGAGATCTGTTTTCAAAACAAAAAACATTGCTTAATAAGGAAGAGAGTATTTCGATTTAGCTATTGATAATTTTGATACGTTGGAAACAGGACGGGTGATGTCTCCTGGGAAAGGGAGTAGGCATCGCTAATGGCATCTTAAGCAATGCTTCACCAATGTAATTTCAGAGCAGACCAGTAGCAATGTATTCAATTACGTTAATGTTTTACCTGGACACATCCACATAGCTACTCATTACAAGACAAAAAAAAAGCCTTGAGTTTTTACTATATAACCTGAGTTCCGATAGCCTCGCCTCACCTGAGGCCCGTACCACCTGTGTCTGTCTCGCTGCAGTAGCTGTGCCAAAGGGGTGAGCTGTTTCTACAAACTGAAAGCAGCAGCTAGGACTAAAGTCCAGCTGCTGTCACATCCAGTGGTGACTGCAGAAACAAGCTGCATCACTTTTCCCCCTCTGACCATGAAGACTTCACTTTCTGATCTCCTCCTCACCTGGACATCTTATCCCAAACCAGTTTACCTGGCCAGCCACATATTCTAGGGTAAGCAGAGACTTACACAGCTGCATAGAGGCCTCCCACAGCCGAGTGGATGAATCCTCTCACAATTGTGTGCAAAATGAAGGAAAGAATCTGGAAAGAGAAGCAGAGAAATGTCACATCCTAGATACCTCCTCGTTTTGCAAAGGCCAACATAAAGTGCTCCCTGAGGCTAACCACACAAAACCTCTCTCATTTGTAGATGGCACTGCTGCAAGGACACGTCCCCAGCAAAGCTTTTTTTACTGCGCTTGTGGCCGATTTAGTTAATTTTCCACAAGTTATTGCAGACTATATGCAAGCATGAGCAAACTATATCCGTTTGCCTGCATCATCAAGGCATGTTTAAGTATAGCATAAAATCACTCAACTCCTCTGCCAAAAACCAGGTGGTGCCGGAAAATAAATATTTTAACAGGTTTATAATCCCACGGTTACCATCGGGCATAGCAGTTGGTGCAGAAATAACCTGCTGTATATATCGGTGTCATGCTTCTTTACAGCAAATTTTCTGACCGTCAGCAGCTTAAACTGAGCTCAGGTTAAATGCACAGACACTGCTGGGAGAATCTCAGTAGGAAAGCATTTGTTATTACACAGCTCAGCTACAGAAACTCCTAAGTATGAATAAATTGTGGCTCAACTCTGACATTTTAACTATAGCTACTGCTTCAGATTCTCTCCAGAGATGCAAACTGCATGGCAGGACTTGTTTCAGCTCTAAGACTAGGGCTCCCAAAGCAGTACAGAAGTCTTCCAGCAGTGCCAGAGAGCCCTCCTGTCACTAAACTGGTCCTGCTCACTTGCAGAATGTGCTGACATTGTCCTGCCTGTCACTCTGCCAGGACCCATGCCAGCCCCTCCAGCACCCCCATGCATTTGCCTTACTCACCTGCAGTGGTAGATTAGGAATAAGACAGGTGATTCCAAATCCAACCAGCAGGACGTTTGTGAATGCAAAGGCATTGGTGGCATTGGTGATCTTCTGGATCTGACGATCACGTTTTTTCTTTTTCTTGTCGCTCCTGGAAGGACAGCAAAGTTTTCCGTTACAAAAAGCACTTTCAGCAGCTACTGGTACTCACAGCAAGATTCTCCCCACATCACATCAACTCTTAAGCCAGTTTGGCTAAAAGTCTGCCTAAGGAGGAGTGGGATTTCCATCAGGGGAAGCTGAGGAACACCTGGGGAATTATTTCAGTGCTGTTACTGTTAGGCTGAAAGGGAAGACTTACAATCTACAATTTAGATTTGCTCTTCTTGACTGATCTTAGTAGACGTGGAAGACAGTTTGGTCCCTCTGCCATTGTCAGGTCTTCCTTACAGCTTTCTTTTCTATACTGAATCACACAGAATCACAGAATCACTCGGTTGGAAAAGCCCTCTGAGATCATCACGTCCAACCGCTCCTGTCTACCCACTAAACCATATCCCTAAGTACCTCGTCTACCCGCTCTTTAAACACATCCAGGGATGGTGACTCCACCACCTCCCTGGGCAGCCTGTGCCAGCTTCTGACGACCCTCTCAGTAGAGAACTTCCTCCTTATCTCTGACCTGAACCTCCCTTGGCACAGCTTGGTGCCATTTCCCCTTGTTCTATCCCCCATCACCTGGGAGAAGAGCCCAGCACCCACCTCTCTCCAAGCTCCCTTGAGGCAGTTGGAGGTGGTGATGAGGTCTCCCCTCAGCCTTCTCTTCTCCAGGCTAAACAAGCCCAGTTCCCTCAGCCGCTCCTCATCAGGCTTGTTCTCCAGAGCCCTCCCCATCCTTGTGGCTCTGCTCTGAACACACTCCAGAATCTCAACATCCTTCTTATAGGATTATATATTATATATGATTATCCCCCTTCTTATAGTGAGGGGCCCAGAACTGAACACAGCACTCGAGGTGCGGCCTCACCAGTGCCAAGTACAGGGGGATGATCACCTCCCTGGACCTGCTGGTCACGCTGTTTTTAATACAGGCTAAGAAGAACCAAAATGCTTTTCAGTCAGAGGGGACTTGCTACATAGCTGCATGCTACGCACCGCTCAGCATTGCTGTCGTCATTCTCTTCTGAGCTGCCATCGTCGCACTCCTTCAGTCGCCAATCCATGATGTACCCGATCACAGGCGCTGTCAGCAAGCACAGCAGTTGCAGTACCCCAAAAATGGAGGTGTAGAGAGCCACTGCAGGGGAAAAGACAAAGATTAAAAGTTGTCAGTCCAAATGGTATCATAGCAGCAACGGGGAAAATTAAAATAGGGCCAGCAGTGAGAGTTCTTACAAGCAACATATCCCTGCACAGCCAACCCTGCCTTAGTCATCTCCCATCATCTCCAGCTGGGAAGATCCAGCAAGGACAAGCCAGGCTGGGAAGGTAAGGACGAACTCATTTTGTGCAGGACAAGTTTCGATGCAGGGGGAAGGGAGATAAGGCACAAAAAACCCCACACCATCTGAGAGCAATCATTAAAAACTCAATAATTAAAACACCCTATGTGTTAGAGATGACAGAGGTGCGGCTTGCTAGGAGAACATTGATGCCAGCAGATGTAAAAAAACTGTCCCTTCCTGTCACTGAGCAGTCCCCCCACCTCACAGTGCTTTTTCCACTTCCCCTCCGCAGCCCACGTGATGGATCTGCAGGCATCACAGAAGGGCTGGTGAGTCATGGTGTACCACAGCTCCGAAATAAGGACGTACTTCTGAAACTGCCCATCTCAGCACAGAGCGCTCACAAGTTACAGCACTGTAAGCAAAATGCAACCAAGAAGGATTGCACTTTGTCCCTCCCAACACATTTCTACATCGAGCCAAAGCAGTGCAGCCAGGACTGACACCAAAACCAACTTGGTAATGGAGAGACGTTTCCAACGAGCCTTTCTCTCCTGTGCAGTTGTAGCAAACCCCAGCAGGGCTGCCCTGCTGTGCCCAGGCATGGCACCTGATGATACTTTCCTGGCTGGCAAAGGAACCAAGAGGAACTTCCAGCCCCAGCCTCCCAACTCACATTGGTACCCCCATTACTTCCACAAAGGCAAGCCCTGAAGTGGCCCCACATCCCATCTCATTATAGCAACTGCTGCAGCTGAGAGAGACAGGTGGCATCGCCCTCTACAAACACTTCTGGAGCTGATTTGCTGTTGTCTGGTTATTTTTTAATAGCAAGTAAGGCGCAAGCCACGCTGTCATGTTTTTCCTCTTCATACTATTCTGAGCACTTAATCTTGGGCTCTGAACAGCAAGAGCTGAAGCCAGCTTGAAGCAGGGAATGAAATTTATGGGGTCAGCAAGAGAAGAGGAGAGACAGCAGCTGCTACAAAACAGGGTCTCCTCAATTTATCTACCATCGAAAAAAAAGAAATCCTGAAGAGAAAAGAAAGAAAATGTGGCAGTTTATGAAAGATGCAGCCAAATTTCAAGTTCTAGACTTAACAGCTCTACTCTCTCCTGCCTTCCTACAACACAATCATACAGCCATTTACAGAGCTACCAAACTCCTTGGCTTCTGCCTCATCTTTTGGGCGTTTTCAGAAGATAAGTAGCCACAGGCTGACTGCTTTTTCCACTTCTAGGTTTCAGGACAGGTCTAAGTCACCATAATCAGCACAGGAAGCAGGACTTTGAAGGACACGGTGACTCACAGCAGCTTAAAGACTTTGCTCCCTATCCGAGTGATTTTTCCCCACATCCTTCTCTTCCCATTCTGCTCCTGGGAATATTTAAGTTTTCTTTGACCATAGTATTTGTAGGATTGACTCAACTCTCCTCTTGCTGAATGCTCCTGAGAGCGGTTGCAAGTGGAGGGAGCTCTCCAAACAAACCACGTTCAAGTAAATAACTGCAAGAAGAACGAGGAATCCAAAGGAACGGTGTCCCACCTCCTCCTGATTCCTACAGATAATATTTCTGGAGAGCTGCACACACCTTGGAATTGCTCTGCTGCAACCAGGCAGTACTGCTGTTTTCCTGATGCCATGGAAACACCAAGACAGGGGACTGTACAGCAAGCCCAGGCTACATTCAGGGGGAGTAGGGGGAGAATGGGAAGAAATCTCAAAGGTGGCCCAGGAAAAAAAGGCAATACACCCAAGGGGCATAGTCCCTGTTTTAAGATGTACCTGGTTCTCAACAGAATTGGCAACATATAGAGTTAATATTTATACTAAAACACCAAAGAGGAGAGGAAAAAATGAAAGAGAAATAACTAGAGCAAGCCAAGGTAAAAAGAAAAAGAAAGAAAAAAGTCAGTGTGAGAGACTTACAAGGTAAGCAGAAAACTAAGCTGTGTTGGGAAAGGTAGACAGCGTGAAGTTTGTCCTGTTTACTGTTTAATGTCTAAACTGGCTCCTGAGCCAGGAGATAAAGAGCTGAATGCTGCAAGCTGTCAAAGGCTTAAGAAACAAAGCAATTCAGGGAATGCCAGGGCACTTGAAGTTTCCTGAGTTTCCTTCCCTCCCCCAGAGCTCACTCCTGTTTTCAGAGGAGTGCCTCTTGATTTATCAGCTTCATGCAATCCAGATTTAACAAGTTCAAACTGGATATTACTACAAAGGACAAAGAAAACAACCAAGGCTAAGTCTTGTTTTGCAATCCTGGGTATTTTCAACAACAGTAAACTAATGTACTCTTTCCTGTTTGCTCCATGTACTGAATCAGAGCTATAAATACAGACAAGTCCAGCACAGTGAGCACCCCTGAGCCTCCCCGGCACACACGGAGCTGCACAAAACACCAATGACTTCACTTCTCCCACCCCCAGTTGCTGGGCTGAGACACCTCGTCCAACCATTACTCATGAGAGTCAGCTGCTCTGCACTCTCTGCTTGCTTAGGATAAGCAAAGCAAATACCTGATGAAATAGGTTTTCCAATTTTAAAAAAAAAATATATCACAGTCCATCCTGAGAGGCTTACTTTCAACAACCCATCTGGGGAAATAACATAGAACAGTATTTAACAGACACTGGGCTAAAATTAGCTTGACATTCAAGTGTCTGCCTCACTGCCCCTCTGTCCTGAGCTACTTCCAGCCTCCACTAGACCCCACCAGCAGCTGCCAGCCACACTTAGACACTGCTAATTGCAGTACTCGGTGAATCTGCTGAGTAATCAGGCTCGCTGGCCTCTTGCAAGGATCAAGTCTGGGTCAGGCCCCAGTTCCAAGCAAGCGGATACGGGTTTTCAGGTTACCCTACCTTGATCTTCGTCTCCAGACAGAAACTCAAGGATGGTGTTCATAGCTCCCATGTAGAAGATGAGGCGCAGCTGAGTGACGCACATGGTGATAAGGCTGAGCAGCAAGATAGGACTGAAGACACTCTTCATGAAGGAGGGAGAAGCTGCAGAAGGAATAACAAGAGTCTCTGAAGAAGGCAGCATACCTTTGTAAACATATACAGTTTCAGAAGAGGCTTTGGCCTCTGGGCTAGCAGGTCTTCTCCTAGCTAACATGCATGTCGGTGGCAGCTCCAAGGAGCTCAGTTACCTGGTGCCTTACAAACTTCCATATTGAACAGCTCTAGATGCTTGGAGTTTGGCTACCAGTGACAAGGGCAAGAGGAAGTAGAAGAAAGACTCATCTAACTCTGTGGATCAGGGCAAGAGGACTCTTTGAGCCATTTGCTTTTGGCATGGCCTTGAGTAAGGAAGGCTTGGTCACGACAGCAGTGGTCTACCCAAACTGCACTGCCCTTCTGCAGCCGTACCAGTTACCCACACTGCTGTCCCCACCACTGGCAACAACACACGGTGTATTTAGGCAAGTATACAAGGACAGGATTCCTTATATAACTGAACTTGTGTTTATATCATGGCTGGCACATCTCACTATCTCATAAACAGGTCTGGAGCAGAGCAGGGAGGCTGATGGCCTTGTGCCAACACAAGCATCCCTGGGGCACTCAAGAAACCACACCTGCGTTGTCGGGCTGGCACTTCACTTCCAGGTCCACCGTAGACAGACACAGCTTGTTATTCTCCTGCAAGGCTGTTGGCTCCTTGGGGCCCTTCATGGAACTCCCCACACTGAGACGGCGCCCCACAGTTGTCACTTGCTTGTAAAACTGTTTCCCAGTGATTTTGTGGTCAAATCCCAGCCAGCTGAACTTTATTTTCACCCTGTTGGGCAGTAAAGAGCATGACAGCTGCAACACAGGATGGGGAATCAGAGGCAGCAAAGTGGCAGGAGTCAGAAAGGCAACATGTGGATTCAAGGCACTAGTTTCCACCTACAAACCCACAAATGGTCTGGATCCAGAGCACAGAGATACACTTCCCCTGGGCCAATTTGGCACAGTCAATATAGAAATACTTATGACTACTGACAGATCATTTTTCTTCATAATTCCTACGCTTTGGAAAGCCCAACTTTCCACAAATATTCACCAGTCAAGCCATAACACTAATGGCAGTCATAAATCCTCAACCTAAGAGGGAAGAGCAGCAATAAACAACATGCAAGGGAGTTCCCTGTCCACTCCTCTAAATTAGCCATGCTGGCACTTTCTAGAGGATTAAGAATGAGATTAGCCCTCGAGGCCAGTGTAGAGGACACTTACGAATAGTCCATGTCTTCTGGTCCTGGGAAAGGCTCCAGCGGCCAATTGAAGAAACAGTTGAGAAACACCAGCCCTGCACAGCTTGCCCAGACAAGCAGAATAAGGATGAAGGAGACCCCAAAGTCATATATAACCTGGAAATCACAAGGGAATATGGTTTTGGCTATAGCAGCAGAAAGGTACTTCAATATTCTTTGAATGAAGGCTGAAAGGAAGCTGTGAGAAACAACAACGTGCTGCATTTAAAATGGGTTTAAGTCAAGTGGTAACAAAGAAAAGTTCTGTGACATGCAGGCTCAGAAAGAGATGTGTATTCACATCTTTACCAGCAGCTACAGCAACAACTGGACCTCAGCTGCAACAGCACACAGCCGTATTGTAGATGACTGCCAAATTTTTCGTCTAGGACCCTCTCCTTTGGAAAGCCAGAAGAAACTTGAAACTGCCTTACCTTTACTATATCCCCCAAGTGTTTATTCTGCAATGAAATCTCTGGTTCAGAACCACCAGTGATCTACCAAGGAAGCCCCAGTGACCATCTCTTCTGTAGCTTCAGTGCTGTTTGCTAGCTCTGAACTCTATTCAAAGCCAACCACCAGTGAATCACCAGATTAAATATGCACATATATTAAATATATATATATGTATGTATAGATATATATACACACATACACTCTTTAGAGCTTAAAAAAGCAGCCTTTCACAAAAAAGACTTCAGTTTCTCACTTATACTTAGCAGCTTTAACATTTTCTAATCTATTAGCGAACAGACTGTTCTCTTTGCAGTATTGGTTGCATTCCTGAGGCAGTCACTTGGGAAGTCCTTAACGCAGACAGGAACCAAATCTTGCAAATTCACATTTCTAAAGCAGCACTTTGACAAACAGTCCCTCTCTCTTGCCACATTATTGCTAAATGGTGCAAAACTCCAGCACAACACCACCATGTGTCACGATCCCAGAGTCTCACCTTGATTCCTGGAAAAGTCACAGCAGAGGAAGCATAGGAGCCAATCATAAGAGCGATGAACGTGGAACGAAGGTCACCAAACATGTTGGGCAGCTGCAGAAAGAAAAATCGGTTCAAACAGGCTGCTGCCAAGAGAAGGGAAGGAGGTTTTCCTGAGAAGACATAAAGTTAATGGCAGACATAAATCTGGCATTTATGATTAAGACTCCTGGATACCAGAATCTGAAGCAGCCAGTTTTACTCAAGATTGACCGAGCTCTTCAGGATATTGCTCTGCAGGTTGCAGTGGTCTCCAGTGCCAGGAAACATCTACAATACAGGATTTATGTGCTTAGTGACACTGCTTTTTTCCAGACTGACAGCATACTCTGCATTGGTTACCTTGAGCACAGGAGTGTTTGCTCCAGCCCTTGGGCTTTCTTTAAGGATTCCTTACCCCAAGTCTGTAGCCACCACCTCCTTTTCTCTCCAAAAAAATATGTGCCTATGTTCTCTACATATCACTCTCTTTTTAGTCAGGAGTTGTTACCCACAGGTTGCGAAACCCGCACAGTTTTTAACCCACCCTGCAACACCTCAAACTGCAGCTTTGTTTATGCACCTTGGGTCACCACCCAAATCCTTGCAGTAGACCAGAAAGTCCCTGTTATAACAAGAAGGAACAGAAACAAAGATAAAGTATGTGACTGTTTTCATTTCCATTTCTAGCTTTGTCCCTGGCTCCTTCTGTGAAAGCAAACTCTCTCCATGAGAGGGGCTGAAGCTCATCATTTCTTCATCAGTTGGATGGCCCAAGCACCCCAGCACGGAGCCAGGTGCAGGAAGGCAAACATGAACACAAGATATCCAAGGATTTATTGCCTGGGCTCTTATCAGGTGAGATGCCATTGCTGAGAGCAGACCTGGCTGGTTCTGCAAGGCTCTGTTGGGAAAGCAAAGCTCTCGGCAGGGGCAGCTGGAAGCGGCTCATAGCAGCCACTTCTGCCACCTCGACAGCTCCCAGGCTGGAGCTCCTATCCCTGCTTCCACTCAGGACCCAAAAGCAGAGTGGAGTGGGCAGAAAGAGCTGCTGGACCTTCCCCTTCCCTTTCTCCTGGGAAAGGAAGAACTCCTCATTTTTCTAAACGACCAGAAGTGACCAAGTTTCCATCCCTGACTAATGACAGCCTGCAAACTGGAAGTGACAAGGAGAAGCTTTGAAGTTGTAGGCTACAGAGAGCTCAGCTGATACCTCCCTAAGCTGGTCAACACGCAGAGATTCTGCTGCAGGCAGACAGATTTCCCTCCCACCTCCTTTTTTAGGTCACTTACTCTCCAAATTCACTTGGGCATCACTGCCACATCAGCCTCAGAGGGCCTCAAAGCAGGACACTTGTGCGTGCCTTCTAGGACTGACAGCATAACCAGCATTTTATCTGCTTAAAGCCGCTGCAGAACAAAATGATTCAGAGAATATTAAAGTGAGCCTGAGTGAGCAAATGCTGTCATCACATTCCCCTTCCACTGCTGAAAAACAAATCCATCTTTCCCAGGAGTTGCATATAAGGCAAGAAAATCTGGCTTGTGTCACGGCAGGACCAGCGTGTTTACAACACAAGTATTCCTGTGCAGGCACACTCGAGGATCCATCTGGCTGTTTGTCATCCCTGTCTCACTGCAGAGCTTCCTATGCAGTGCGGTCTCCAGGTCCTCGGATAACCCCGGCGATGCTGTGCCGAGCCCGATGCCGCTGGTGAACCCTGAGCAGACGCAGGCAGAAAACGCTGCGCTCCTCTGCGGCGAGGATCTCCACACCCAGCCCCAGATCCCTGCATGCGGGAGAGCTGCCAAAGGGCTGCTTTCAGGAGCTGCAGACAGGAAACGGCAGAGGATCCAAAGGTCTGTTACCAGGCATAAAGAAAAAAAACCCTCTTCTTGGAAGCAGTGGCCTAAATACACACCCCAGCAAACAGCATCTGCAGAATACAATATCTGCCGGCTGCAGAAAGGCCAGTTGCTGTCAGCAGGCACAGCATTCATTTAATCTCAAATACCCCAAACCTAAAATAATCTCCAGAAATTACAACAAACAACTGCTCCTGCTGGGGAGCAGGGCAAGAGCTCCACAAACACAGCTGCTCCTTGGCTCGGGCTGCTTTTCCCCAGAGCCCCAGCGACCACAAAAAGCCTTTTTCATGCAGCAGAAAAGCAACTCCCGGGTGGATCCTCCTGCTCCGATGGCTACTGGAGACAAAGCAGGCCTGAAAACAAGCACTCGTGGCCGGGCAAAACCAAAACCTGCCTTGATGGGGACAGAAGTCCTAGAAAGATTTCTTAAAATCCTATTTGGCACCAAGCAGCTAGATTTAAAAAACTGGACATAGGAGATTTAAGGTTTTATCCAACCCAATCAAAGCAGAAGCTGCAAACACTGAACACTTGGGAGGAAATCTGAGATTACCTGGAGGGGCAGAGGGGAGCCAAAGGGGAAAACAGAGCCCATGCTCAGATAGAAAACCTCTCAAACTGCAAGTGCCAGCACCACCAATGCCAGCGCAGGTTTCATCTAAAGACCAGCTCCTAAAATAACACGCAGCATTTACTAAGTCATTTTTCATGCTGTCTTTATAGCAGCAAATATTGGAAAAAATGAACCATAGAGAGAAAAAAAAACCCAAAGCCACAAAGTGGGCTCTTTGTTTTTCTGCCACCAAAAAGATCCTCATTCTGATCCTCATTTTGGCCTTATCCCTGAAGGCCAGGACTCCTGCCCTAAACTCCTGTCCATTTGTGGATGACAGCCCCAATTCTGCAAGACCTACAATGACAGAAACCCTTACACCTTCTGTTTAAAGGTCAGTAATACTCAATGTATCATTAACCTTATGCCCCATGTGAAAGACACTAACTTCCACAACTTATTTTTCCTGAGTCCTTTATTACAGGTATCCAATCCTAACCCGATAAAATAATTTCCTCTTGCAGATTATTTTCTCATCTGTGCTATAGCAAGTTTAAGAACTTTGATGATTTCTTATAATTTTTCAGCTTTTCCTTGGAGACAATCCGCATACAAAAAACACCACAGTAGCATCACCAAGCCCAGCTTCCCTCCTCTTCCTTTGTTTGAAAGAACAGTGGAAAAAGTCAAGGGATTGAGAAGTGGACTACTGGAGAATGGGATTTTTGTTCAAGCTAAACTTTGTTTTCCCCATCGGGGGTGTATTTGGACGTTGTACAGACACTAAAACCACATTCTCCAGGAAAGCCTCAAGCTGCCCGCTTTGTCCAAAGCGTATGGAAATTCCTGTTCCCATTCTCCAACAAAAGATCACAAAGCCCTCGGTTTTCCTAATATTTCTGAGCAG